ACCTGACAAGACAACAACAAAGCCGATAAGAGATAACAAAATGTGGGGATTCGCCAGGGGCCCTTCCTTCATAAGAACTTCAGACGATACACAAGTCTGTGGAATGAGGTAGACAACTCAAGCTTATGAAACATGAAAGGCTACTTCACTCAAATGCACAATAACTGCAAGAAATGTGACTTTCATTAGGTGGAATGCCATTTAGCAGCATGTCAGCGCTAATAGAGGCATACGTATCAAACTAAAGCCTGTAGCAGAGCCCTAAATATGAACTGTAAAATATTTAGGATGCCGACTAGACCGTGATTAAAGTCCAGACATAACAGGAAAAAAACTGACAAGCTGTACAGACAAAGAGAAGCCAAGGTCACAGGTTGAAACTAAGAAATGTAAAAGTAGGCAATATGCAGGGGAGCTGGCACATGACAACACTGATTTCCCATTACACACAAAGTAAATTCCAACAGAGTATTGGTATTCCAAGCAGTGTTTCCGCCAGACGACGTCCACCCAGAGAGCGGGGGGGGGGTGTTGTCCACCGCCGATGTCGGGGGAACAATACTCCGAAAAGTCCTTGTCCTTTTCGTTATTTGAAGCGATAAAAACTCTCGATCTTCTCTCGAATTATTAATATTTTTGGACGCCCTCGGCTCTCGAGTCAAATGACGGCAAGACGCCCCCCTGGCGGAAACGCTGATTCCAACTTTATAGCCGTGTGAGCAGAATTCATTTTGTTACCTAAATTGAAAGTCCTTTTTAAGTACATTTATAGATCACTTTGTTCTTTTTGCTTCTTTTTACACCAGCTTCCACTTTTTAGTGCCCTCAAAAGGTGATGTGTGGTTATCATCTATACAATATTATGGTTTAATATTAAGCTTAACAAATAACTACAAACGTTTGAGGGTGAGATCACACACTCAACCCATAGGGTGACCATTTAAGATCTGTCGCAAGGTGCACATAAGGATGGATTTCTGGGTTATGTGCAGCTGTATAATAGCAAAATGCATTTATTTTCACATTGACAAAAAAACTAGGAAAATAAGACTACATTGCACCTCATGCCCTACCAATGTGGAGACAAACTAAACACATTCTCAAGATGAAATTATAGTCAAAATATATTTTACAAGCACAATAACTGTCTTTCCAAACCTAGGAACACTACAGAATATTGACTAGATTTCAAACCTAGTTTACAATCAAGTATTTGAATACAGCAAGAGAGAGGGATGTTTGTCCGTGCTCCATCACCTTCATGTCTCATAAACCCATCCAAGACAGGTCACATCACTATCATCAGAGAGTGCTGTGAAAGCTGTGAGGGGAAGTGAGTGGGAGGTGGAAGTTGGTGGCTGTATGAAACATTCTATATAACTCCACACCCACTCTCAACACTGCAGGGTAGGGCTGCTCAATTAATCGTATTTTAATCGCAATTACGATTATGGCTTGCAACGATTACGAAAACAACGTAATCGAAATAAAACGATTTTTTAAAAAATTATTATTACTTTATTTTTTTCAACTTTTTTTTATTGGTTTTTCAGTTGAAGTATTCTTAAAGTTCAGGGTAATCAACTGTTAAAAACATACTGTTCCATTTTTTCTCCAATAAATTGATGTTTTCAAAGTAAATGGATAATCGTTTTTAATAATCGTGATATCAATTATTGAGCCAAATAATCGCGATTATGATTTTTGCCAATTACTTTTGTACAGATTCTGTGGAGCTAATACAGCCTGGATATATATGTGTGTGTGTGTGTGTGTGTGTGTGTGTGTGTGTGTGTGTGTGTGTGTGTGTGTGTGTGTGTGTGTGTGATGGACCCTTCCTGACCCAGTTACTAAGCTGTCATCCTGCAGAGGGAACACCTAGAATAGCAATCAAATGGCAAGCATTGTAGACGATGCCCTCATTTCATTTCTGTTATTACTTTTGTACAGATTCTGTGGAGCTAATACAGCCTGGATATATGTGTGTGTGTGTGTGTGTGTGTGTGTGTGTGTATGATGGACCCTTCCTGACCCAGTTACTAAGCTGTCATCCTGCAGAGGGAACAAAGAGAGGAGCAGCTGTCTATCAATAGCCTGAATGTGTTTTCAGGACTGACACAAATAAAGCAGGGTACGAACAGCATGTGCTTCTGTCCAAAATCAGCAGGGACGCCACACATGAACACCTGCTTTGGTTCCTCAAGTGACAGCTGATTGGTCACATGGAGGTGACTTCAAATGTAAGGTCACCATAGAAGAAGAGCATAGCATTTACTTTTAGGGCCAAAATGATAGGCTGCTTAATCAATTAGACAGTGGGCAGAAAAAAGGCTACAGTGATCATTTCATGATTGATTCATTTGTTGATTTATTTTTCCATAAGTCGACTCTGTAGTCTACATAATGTCCCTTTAACTCACTGACACATGATTTAACTGGTTGTTTTGTGTAGCCCAAACATATTCTATTTACACAGTTTTGTATAAGAGAAAGGCATTTTAATGCTTGATAAAATGTTGATTCATCACTTCGAATAAATACCCGACAATGTATTATTCAACTAAAGATTTCAGCACTATTTTGAAGCAAAAGAGTCTCCAAATGTACAGCTCTTTTTCATTATACATCCTTATTAATTTAAAATGTGTTTTCTTTGTGTTACTGTTCATCAAAGCAAGCTATTTGAAGAGTTACTATCAATTCACCTATTTATCAAAAGTCATATGCAAACAATAGTTTTGTTGCAGCCCTAAAGCAACAGAGGTTTATGATGCTGATCACTCAGGTATGAAATTGTAAGCACTGGTTTAAGTCAGTACTAAGAAGCAACAAACACCAGCAGAGAACACACTGCTGAGCCTGACAAAAGATGTTGATGCAGATGAAAGCCTCCACACAATAGAGCATATCTTTGTTATGGAGATTATCTGACGCTAAAGGCTCCAGCAGCGTGGGGGGGGGGAGATGTGCCAAGAAGTCCTGCTTAAATCACACAAAACATCACAGTGGTTCTTAATGACAGTTGTGGCCTGCTTCATTACCTGCTGATTCACCAGTGTTGATCCAGTCTGGGTTTGCAATGCTGGCTATTGCAAAGATATCTGCTGCTAAAAAGAGGCACCCTGAAATGATCGTGAGTTTATCCATATCTCCAGCTGAGGAAGCAGTGAATGACGTGGAAAAAATGTGGTCGTTGTCCAAATGTGACCCCGAGTGTAGAGAGACACAGGGTGGGCTGTTATCAGTCTAACCTCGCCCCCTTCAACAGGAGCCTGTGGTTCTGCTCTGCATTTTGCAGAAACGTTAGCTCCTCAAGCAAGCGCGAGCCTCCAGCTACAAACGGCTCAAAAACGACGCACAAAAGCATCACATCTCAAATGCCAGCTGTAGTCCGGTAAGATAAAACAATAGCTCACTCAGCGCCGGGGCCCCGAACCTCTTGTGTGGATCCGTTTAGCAGCAGCAGCATCGGGTACAGCTGCGGCTAGCACAGAGCTAGCTAGCTAGTTCCCAGATTCGGGCTCGGTGTGCCGAGCTGCGGCCCAGAAGCTGCTCGACGGCCGACACCGCAACTGTGCTAGCATTTCAGACACAATGTCAAACACACACACACACACACAGCGAGGTGGAGAAGAAGCAAACAGGTCCTCCTCTCTTCGCAGTATCCGTGTTTCAAGCGAAGGTTAGCAGTCAGGAGAACCCATCACCGTGTCTTGCTTATTCGAGCCCGTTCTCCGCTGGAATAGCATCTGGTCCTTCTGTCCGTTAACTTCCTCTTCCTCCTCCTCTTCCTCTACGGACCACACTGAGGAGAATGTATTTAAGGCAGCGTAATTAACCCCTAAACAGCCGTTATTATTCCCTGTGTGAACGGTAAAGCAGTAGCGTTATTGTTTTGCTTTCCACCCGTGTGCCCACCGTTATCTCAGCCTCCCTTTCTGCCTAATGACATCAGGCGAACACCCCCACGCAGGGACACAACTCACTGTCTTCTCGCGATACTACGCAGAAACGGGGTTCAGGGTGTCCTGAGTCGCCCTGGGAGGCAGTTTTTTGGGGGGCTCGGTGATTGCTACAGGGGTGCACCTCTGAATGTTGGGAATTTGAACCATTTAAGTACAATATGAACTAAGGCTGTTCATGCAATGGTCCATGAGAATATTCTAATTTATTTCTAGTTTATTTAAACATGTATTTGAAATGTTATTATGCATTTCCATGGGAAAATAACACTACCATGTCCTTTTTTTTTGGTGGATTACCTTATAACCTTCTAGTTTTAGTTTCTTCATTATGCTTTATGCTCTATTATTGCTTATGCTCACTTTTTTTATGTTTAATTTAATATTTAGTAAATTGTCCTTTTGTCTACAATAATACATTCTCACGAGGCAAAGTAAAAGTGTGTTTGGTTTAAATACAGCTCAAACTAGGAAAAAAAAAATTGCAGACAATTTGAATAACCAATTCATCATTCAAGTACACTTTTGACAAGTTCCAGCATTTAAAATGTTAACATTGTACTACTTCTACTTGCATTGACTGTAGTTTACACTTGTCATTTTATGCTTAAATAATTAATTAAATGTTTTTATCTTAGCTATAGCAATGAGCCAGAAAGCAGACAAACATTTTACTCAGAAAACACAAGATAATGCAGTCTTATGATTAAAGTACTTTTATTTGTATTCTTTATGTATATCATTCTGGTTTTACTTTCCTCTTTAGTGAATTATACTTAACAATGCTGCAAACATAATTAGAAGTGAAAACAGGACTGCTCAAAATGTAATGTAGGATGTTCAGCATTGGCAACGTTAAATCCTGCTTAGTCATGTTTGTGCTTTTGTGTCCCTCCATTGGTTGAAGAATGGAACAACATCTCGAAATGCTGAAAATACCAGCTGCCTGAACAGCCCTAACAGAGATGCCTCAACTCTCCTGATAAAAATTGAACCTTAAGTAAATCTGGATTCATTCCAAATACAAGCAACAGCCAGTGGTTATCACGTTCTTTAATTTACATAGATATACAGTTAAATTGACAGAAAACAAAAAAGATATTGCATTATGATTCTCCAGGTCCTTGTTGGTGCACTCACTGCAGGACAGACACATGATTGGTGACATCAGATGAATTGTTGCAGGAGGCTCTGATGTCCTCTTTCCTTTTGAAGCAGCCCGGCACAGCGAGCCATTAATAAAACCAACCGTTCTTATGATTTATCTTCATAATTCATCAACGAATGGTGTATTCAACAGCTGTCCACAAGATGCCATGGTCTTCTTGCCATCCACAAATTTGCTCGCAGCCTGTCAAGTAAAGGTCAGAGGAAACGCTTTAATTTAAAGCATTTTCTTAAGTGGTCAATTACAACTCTATTTAATTCATTAATAAAAGTTGTCACATTATATTATCTTTCTGCATTTATCGGTAGTGAAACTTTTGGGGTTTTTGTTTTAAATTCAACAAGTATTTTGTTTAACCGAAAGTAAGATCTCAAGACACCTTCTGTTTTTTTTCTGCAAGTAATAGATTTTTAAAAACAGTTACCTGCTGATAATAATACATTTTCTGATAAAAAAAATCAAAACTTAATTATTCACTTTTGACAAACAGCATCACCACCTGTACAGTAGAGACTCTCACCTTGACCACTTCGTCATGGGTGACACCATCTATGGCCTGGAGGATGGCGTCAGGGAGCTGGTACGCTGCAGTGCTCAGAACCTGAGCCCCGATCTCCTCCATCAGACTCTCGTCGCTCTCTATTGACATCAGGTACTCTGCCTTCACCTGGTTCCTAAGCAGAGAAGTCAATCATATTGTTCTGGTACAAAGAAGGCTTCACCTTGGTCTGTCTAACGTTACTCAGTGAACTCACTTTGCTCTGATGACGTCCTCCTCCGATACATTTCCCTCTGCCACACCGCTCACCTGAGCAACGGCAGCTTGGATCACCTACACAGAGCACAAGCAGCAGTTTAGAGAAATGTAGACTCAGGCATCAATGCAGATTTTAGATCGGATAACATTTATCTTTGAATTAGTATATTAGTCAATCACCTCTCCTGCTGAGTCAGCTTGTGCAATGGTATATATGCCAAACAGGCCGGAGTCGGTGTATGAGGCATTGAAGGCTGTGGCCTGAAAGACAGCACATTTATTACTAACGCAAACACAGTAAGACTACAACTAAACTACACCAAATAATATCCTCTTTTTTAACTTACATCAAATGGCTGTGTGGTGGCTTTGGCAATACCCTGGCTCAGCTTGCTGGCGATGTTGGAGCCTCTCTTAATATGTGGCCCAGCTCCCAGGATCCTCTGCAGCACGGTGAAGGCATTAGCCTCTGCGCTTCCTGTCACACCGCCCTCGCTGGTAATCAGGGCGTGGACCAGGTCATCGGTGTTCTGCACACGCAGCTCACCTGCAAAACACAATAGCATTATGACAATGTTCCAGTGATAAATCTAAGAGGGTAATGTGTTATTAAACTGAACTTTCACCTCCGCGGTACACAGCCTGAGCCACAGGCGCTCCCGCCCCGCTGCGCTCACTCAGGAGCCCCTCGCCCAACTGCCTTAGGACAGAGTGCTTCACACCTGCACGCAGGAATCAGACAAAACTAACGTTAACATGCGAATTAAGTGGAACAGAGCACACAAACTGAAAAACACCTTACATTCCCGGGATAGAAAAACATCCATAAAAGTGTATGTGTAATCACTTCAGGCATGCAGTGTTTGCTTGAAGGCATGTTTTATTCATTACATGTTCAACTAAACTACATTAGTATCTCTGTTGGACTATATGTTTCTACCCCTGTGTTTGGGCTGAGGCTACATTTGAGGATTGTAAAAATCAGCTGTGACACTCACCTAGTCCTACAAGAGCCATTCTCCCAGTGGTGAAATTGTCCGCAACAAATGAATGCAGCTACAAGGGGGCGATAAGGAGAAGAAAAGTGTGTTAGAGCAAAAGAAAAAAAGCTTATGTCACATATATTCATATGTTTTAATAAATAAGATTCATACCTGTGCAGAAGAGACACGGCCGACCATGTAGTCCGGGCAGTACAGAGAGTTGGACAGGGTATTTTTGTACGCTGCTTCATGCAACTTCTCAATAACACCTGCGGGAGAAGGTAGAAAAAAAAGGCAAGACCTTTAGTTAGCATGCTTCATAAATTACATCTTGTTTTCCATTCAGTGCGTTTAGTTTCCGTAATGTGACAAATGTCTCCTCACCTCCCCTCTCTGTCTCCCTTACCTGCATTTTTAAAAGGGGGATGATAAGGGGGGAAATAAATGGTTGTTTTTTTTGACAAGTATTTAAAATGTCACAAGAGATGGATAAACCACCAACACAGAATTTCACGTTTTTTACTATGTCTTTGAGCATTTTTAACATTAAATGTAAATCTACTGAGATCCTGTGATGAGCCAATCCTACTGAAGAATTGCCAGTAATTCATGAACTAGTTTTTAGAAAAGTCCAATGGCTTTTCAAGATTCAAAGATTTAAAGGCTTTATTGTCAAATGCTCACTAGTTACAGCGGCAGGCATACACAGTGACCATGACAATCTAAAGTCCCAGGAACCGCTGGACATACAATGAAACTTAAGACATAAAATAAATAATGAAATAAATAGTCCAACATAATGGTGCAGGAGACATAACTGTGTGTAAAGGAAGGAATAAGTCAAATGTGTACTTGTAAAATAGAATAAAATGAAGTGTAAAGTAGTGGAATAATTAGTCATTTAAAGAGCATTTTGCAGGTTTTTATTTTTTCTACATTTATGCTTAAACTTGCTTGAAAATTACAATTAAAAAAGTGAATGCAGGATTTGATATGTTTTACGAGACATAAGGGCAGGAATTCAGAGGGAAAGGAGCAATTTTGAGCTCTGCTCTTAAAAACGGCTTTTTTTTAAGGTCATACGTCAAACGCGTCATATTACATCACACAGGGGACACATCTCCGCTCTCTGACTGCGGGTATAGTAGAGTTGCGTTGAGTAGAGCGGTTGTGTTTTAGTGAGCTGGTATTTTTCGGTAGTTTTAAATTGTATTTCTCCATTTGTAATCATGGTGCAGTATTGTGTTTGTGCAGGTTGCACAAATACCAGCCTGTCAGGACATNATTCAGATCAAAGCACAGTACTGTGACTGCCAGTCTGAAAGTCTTAGACGATATTAAGGCTGCTTTGGATAATAAATATTGTTGTGTTGCATTGTTTATTGACCTAGCCAAAGCATTTGACACTGTAGATCACCACATTCTGTCTAATGTTATGTTGGTGTCTTGTTTCGGTCATAATACCTGTTAGTGCAATTAATGGCTCACCAACTGTAAATGTTAACACAGAGAGAGAGAGATCAATAAAACACAAACACAGATATGGTTGAGATTAATTATTATTCAGTTGCGCAACAACAAATAATAATGGAGTACATCACCTTCTGCCACAGCAGCCAATCGTGGAAATGCCCCCCAGACTAGAAAGATCTTGTGTGGCTTATACACGTAAAACACACACGAACATACACTTGTAACATACGTGGCAGAGATAGTTGATATGTTCCAGCAGTGGAAAGGTCATTATCTCATGACGTCTTTAGGAGTCTTGCAGGATATGAATTATCCAATTAACAAACTATATATACGTTTGCACATGACCACACATACATTTTCCTTACATTAGCCAACACACCAACATCCTTATCGTTTCTTAGCTAATGCATGTTGGATATGAACCACTAACTAACAAGACTTTAACTGTATTATATCTGAGGAAGACCTCCCCCAAGGGAGGTCTTCCTCAGATATAATACAGTTAAAGTCTTGTTAGTTAGTGGTTCATATCCAACATGCATTAGCTAAGAAACGATAAGGATGTTGGTGTGTTGNGCGTAAACCACGGTTTATATCGTCAGTTAGCTGAGATTCATTTCCATTATGCTCGCGTATAACGACATTAATGGCTTCTTAAATATTTAGATCCCCTGAGACTAGAGATGTTCCCGATCCGATCACGTGATCGGAGATCGGGAGCCGCTATTCACGTGATTTTCAAAAGATCGGAATTTTGGGGAGGAAAAAATCTGGGAATCGGGGTTTTTTTTTTTTCTTCTTTTTTTTAATACTTTTTTTTAATTTTGTATTCATGTTACAACAAAAATGGCCCATGTTTCAAGCTCTTAAATTCAGTCCTCGAGCCTTAGTTTTGGTTGCTCAACTTACAGAACATCATGTATGCTGTTGCTTCTTTTGCGGGCTTGTTATTCATAGACCTGGTTGCTTGTTACTTTCTCTCACAATCTGGCACCAGGAGTGCGCAGGGCGCGCCGTGTCTAGTTTGTAGCAGTAAGCCCTAACGAGTACTGCAAGCTTTATTTTGTTTTGATCCAATGCTGGAAAGGAAAGAAGCTATATCCATGTTGCTGATTACGACATATCCAATGTGTGAATAAGAAAAAATAACTTAAGGCGACACTGAATGCTTTTTTTTCTCTGTAATGCATTGCCACTAAAGATCGGATCGCGAAATCGCCGTATCGCGCAAATTTGGTCAAAATCAAAAATGATCGGAATCGCGATCGGGATGCAAAAAAAGCGTGGATTGGGACATCCCTACTGAGACACAGTGTCCTGAAACAAAAACCCAGGGTCGGGGCTAACAGGTTTTAACAGCGAGTTAATTGTTCTTTGTTAGCACCTAGGGCTTCTCTGAACTTCCTTTCACCTCCGAGCGCAGTTTACTCGAATGAATACATTTATTTTTTTTTTTTTTTTTTTTGCCGTATGGAGAACAAAAGCGACTATGTTTTTGTCTAACTGTGTGACTCGAACATTCTCGCAAGGCTGCAGCGATGTGCATTCATTTAACTAACAGATATTTAACCTGCCATTGATCTCTTTATGCAGGAAACTTCTTCTTGGAGTTCCCTTGCTTAAATTGCCAAAACGCCAATTGGTGATCAACAAAAGCACTCTCCTGAATAATTCTGGACTGGCACCAGACTTTCAACAAATGGGACATTAAAAGGAACTTACCGAAATAGGCCTTATTGAACTTTTCGCTCTATAAACACGTTATTTAATACTTCAAAAATGACTTGTCAAAATAAAAATACTTCAGCTGTTAGGAGCCTCGTTTTTTTTTCTTTTTTTTTTGGGATGTGTGGTACAGGTGTGTAGGTGTGTTTCGTGGTCAGTGCCGTAGCATGCGGCGGGAACAGAACGGGTCTCAAGATTTGGTTTGCGCTTCTCCTACTGGCTTTACTTTAATTACTTGTGACACTTATTGGCCAAGTCATTTCAATTCCCCATTTCGCAGCGACCAGAGGAGCTGAAGGGAGGGTAGTATCCAGTCATCTGATTGCCTGTTAACGTTATTATGGACGAGCTGCCTCTCGAATACTATGTTAAATTGTCATAGTTTTATTATAAATAAGTATTTGTTGTGTGCTGTTCGCGCATCTGTAGGCCTGTTTAATTGTCTCATAGCCTATACCGCGCCTCTTCAATGATTCAAACGTAATAATACAATCACCTTATAAGTCGGTCGAATGACTACATCTGTCATCGACAGAGTGCCCTGCATGCTGGCCTCCTGCTCATCCAATTAAATGGACCGCTCTCTTTAATATGAACGCTCAGAGGAAGGAGTGGTCTCATTTCTCGTAACTGCCCTTGCTGCTGTCCCTCTCCTCTCTCCTCGGTTCCCCTCCTCAGTCCTCCGCTCGCATCTCCTGTGGGCGGGACTAAGTCTTGAGGATAGGAGTCGAGGAGGGGAAATTGAAGAATTGAGAAGCCTCTACTGTCACTACCCGATCCGTCCCCCTGCCCGATCTGCACTGCGCATGTGCGAGATGGTCTGCCATATTGGAGAACTCCGGACGGCAACTAAGGAAGGACACTTGACACAGTGGCTTTTGGCAAAGGCTGAAAATAAACGAGAGAGAGATGAGTTATTGTTATTACAATTATGGATTTAACTTCTGTTAGACATTCATATGCCATATACATTTTTGCACACATTCACAGTAAATATTTATTCAGTATGATAGCTGTCTAACAGAAGTTAAATTCATTTCTCACTTATTCTGACAATGTACCCAAATTAGGTAACCCAATAAAAATAGTTGTTAAATAATAGTGAAGTCACGTTGTAATAACAATAACTCATCTCTCTCTCGTTTTATTTTTCAGCTTTGCCAAAAGCCACTGGGGTCCTTCCTGGGTGGGCGTGATAAAATCAGATTTTAAATTGGAAACGGCCATATCCAGGGAAGGAGCACATGAGTATACAATAGTGTCATCAGCATACATATGATAGGTAGATAATTGCATCTGATTCAAAATATTATTTACATAATAATAAAAAGAGCATGGGCCCCAAATAGAGCGCCCTTGTGGAACTCCCTTCTCCCAAACAGGTGAGCAGGGTCAGAGACAGTACTCACCGTGCATTGAGTTCGGTCGCGTTAGATAACTCTGAAACCAGCAACTGGCCGTATGACTGAAACAAGACCCAACATAACATTAGACAGAATGTGGTGATTGTCTACAGTGTCAAATGCTTTTGGCTAGTCAATAAACAATGCACCACAAACAGATTTTTTATCCAAGCAGACCTTAATATCGTCTAAGACTTTCGACTGGCAGTCACAGTTACTGTGGCTTTGATCTGAATCCAAGA